CCCCAGCATAAACTAATGTATGAATGTCTGAGAGTGTAGAAATTGAATGAATGTAGTTTGGTAGTAAGCGAGTGTTTACATAATTTAGTGTTTTTCCTACTACCTTTGACATGTTGATTTTCAGTATTTGCGGTCTTTGTGTGGGATCTGTGCCTGTATATTTAGTGAGTGTTTCCTGAAATATAAGTGAGAGTGTACTAACTAAATCTATATCTATGTTATCAGTGATGGATGAGGACGTGTCTGTAGTATCATTAATGGTAGTTGTATGTGTACTATTATCAATGCTTGTTGCTGGATTATCCTGACAGGTTATGTGATCTTCATTAATGTTAAATGTTTCTGTCTGTTGATGTATTTGATCAGCAACCTGTTGTTTGATAAGTTCAAGTGTTGGTTGTGGGATAAGGTTGTTTGTTGTGTATAATTGTTCTTTTTTGATCAGCAACCCTTTGTTCAGTGACAGTGAAATGAGGATATTGTTGTGTGAATCTATGGTGTAGTTGTTGTCTGTATGCTGTCGTGTTTGTTTCGAGTCTTGTGATGGTGTAGTAAGTATGGATGATAAACTCGTTCATTTCTGATGTCTATTTCATTCATTGGCGTGGTTTTCCAGCCTTTGTGGTCTGTGGATATATTGCCACAGAAACACCAAGGCTATTATTATTATTATTAATTTTCATTGTGAAAACATTTCAAAGTGTCGTTTCAATTCTATTTATTTGAGTGCTTGTGGATACATGATATTTTTTGTTTTTCCCCGTCTGGTGCGTACATGAATAAATCATAGGGTTTTCCGACGCGTGAGCTGGCCACATACAGTTGTCCATGCGAGAAGCATGGATTCTTTAAATTTAGCCAACACACTCACAAAGATTGTCAGAAGTGCAATATTCCCCATTTTTATATATATTATGTAATCCTTTATAATTTTGATCATTTAATTGCTCCTTCCTCTCTTCCTTGGTATGCTGTGAAATTTCTGATAGTTGGATAATAAACTGTTTTATTGTAATTTGTCTTTTTAAATTATTGTGAGTTGATATTAAAATTTGGAAAAAGGGATCCCTAGATCGGTAAAATAGGCGAATTTCCTTCTACAACTTCAGTTGTTGTTCGGGATACAGTTAAGGTTTTAACAAAGTTCGAGCGAATACATAATTAGCAAAAAAAAAGTTGAAATAAAGTGATTAAACAAAAATTATTACAAATATCGTAAATAACAAATGCATATATAGAGATATTTTTTGGAGGGGGGAAATGGTCTTCACAATTTGAAATTGATCGAACACACAGTGAAATGCTCGTTTACACGCACGCCATCTATCGTAGGATAAATGTGCTATGCCAGAAACCTTCTCAAAAAAACTTTTCAAAGCTTCATGGCAATTGTACTATGCCAGAAACCTTTGCGGGAGTATATTAAACAACTTCCCAAAGTTTCACAACAATCAGATAAACAGTGTGGTAATGCACGAAGGACAGACAGCTACACACACACACACACATTCATTTTTATATATATAGATAAAATAAAAAAAAACATTCATGAGAAGAAGTAAGTTTCTTAAACAGTATATTGTTAGAAAAATACTGGATTATAACTGTTCACTATTTTTTCAATATTTTTTTTATCTGTTCTGTATATAATTTATTAATGATTTAAAATAAATTATAACTTAAGGGGGAGTGTCTCGACTGTCGAAGGTGCTGGCGTGATAACCTCAAGAGAAGAGTTGATACAACATTGTGTGATAATGATTCGCTCTTGGAGGAAAATACTACCTCAATTTAAGTGGAAGTATAACAAATGTCTNTTAGAAAAATACTGGATTATAACTGTTCACTATTTTTTCAATATTTTTTTTATCTGTTCTGTATATAATTTATTAATGATTTAAAATAAATTATAACTTAAAAGGTTCTGATACAAAAAACAAAAAGTAACTAACAAAGTATATTATAATTTATTATAGAATAAGAGAGACAAAACATGTGCATGAAAGTTTATTATAGAAACTATCAAAATTGCATTACACACAGGCAAGGACCATTACAATTAAATCTCTGTAGAATAAAGGTATTAACCAAATGTTATTTCCTTAAGAAACTAATAAATTCATTTCCCACAGAATATATTATAACATATAATCTATTTTGCAATATGTTTATGAAAAATATTATTTATAAATATTTGGATATTAATTTATGTATATAATTTATCATTTTTCTTACGATTATTTCAAATATTTAGTATAATACATATGTAAATGTAATGTCATCTACTAATTTTTATTACAAAGCATTTCATTTATATTTTTCTAAATTTATAAGAATAAAGGTAAAACACTTTACTATAAATTATTTAATTAATTTTAATAATTATTTTAAATTAATTATTTAAAATGTTAATATTTTAACTTTAACAATAACATTTAATTATTCTAATCATTTCTAATTTCTAATAATTCAACTTAATACACTTAATATACTTACTTCTAATTGGAATTTGATATGTGTTCTTAATGATTCAAATAATAAAAAACACACTCTAAGTACGGCAGCAAAAATTGATAATTTCTCTGTTAAGAGTAACTAAAAAAAATTAAAATTTAAAAATTATTAAATAAAATCTTTAGTAAATAATTATTTACAAATATCAACAATATAGATATTAAAACTCAATTCCACAACCTTTTTTCAACATAATTCATTATATATGTTACTTGCCTCAGCTGTTATGAAATATAACAAAGAGAAATTATAATGATTAGTCACATTTTTCTTTTGCCTTTCTTCATATTTTGATTTTCCAGGAACCAAACAATGTAAAAAACCCCCTTACAAAATTGTGTGTGTGTGTTTTTGAATTATATCTCAGGACTGGATAAATAAATAAATTTTAAAATTTGACAAGATTATTTCTATGTAAGGGCATTGATACTATTAAATTTTGGTACTTAAGATCAAGGAAGTAGAAAGATAGGAGGAACATGTGTTGTATCTTGAGTGGGGTTTGACTTAATGAAAACTTTAGTCATTTATCACACTTCCTTACTACCACGGATGATGAGTGTTAAAAAATTTGTATTATACAATCTGATGTATTACAAAACTTTTTTCCTCATTTGCAGCATTATTAATGTAAATGCACTTAGACGACTTGTTCAAGATTATCAAGATTTTCTAAACAACTACAAAGTAGACTGAACTGATATTCTGGAATACACCATAATTTACTTGACTACTTAGTTATTTTTTTTACAATTGTTTATCTCTTAAAGAGATTACAGTTTTGCTGTAAAATCGCCAACTGCACCTCAACTGCAGTTCATAATTCTGATTACCATCATATTTAGAGGAGTCAGCTTGGCCTGCCTTACCTCCAAAAAAGTGGACTCATTCTGTCATACTTAAGATCTCAACATCACACTCATATGACACTTCCTTACTCCCTTGGATGTGCGAGTGTTAAAAATTTGTATTATACAATCTGATGTTGTATTACAAAACTTTTTTCTCATTTGCAGATAAGAATTTTCCTTTCATCTTTTTTTAATCCTTTTTTATATAAGTGTTTCCTCACACCATCCAGGTTTTAAAGGTTTTAAAGCTTATTAGGGTTATAAAACAAATAAAGGTTACAAATGTCACTACATCTTAATTCTTTCAAGATTTTTATGCAAAATGTTAGATCTATCAAAAATAAGTGTCTCTCACTTCCAACTATTCTCAGTGCATTTCATAACTTATACATTATAACCAAAAGCTGGATTACCTCATAGAAACACAATTTCAAAAATTTTGCAAAATCAATTAGAATTTTCTCATCTTTCTCTTTGCTGTGAAATCCAATATGGTGGTGGTATCTTAATTAATGATTTTCCATCCTTCAACCCAAATAATAAAAATGTTTGAATACCTTAATTCCATCTTGATCGATAAATTCCCTAAATTTCATCTTATTATAATTTCCATTTATGCCCCTCACCATAAAATAAAACATGTATTTCAAATAATATACTGCTTCCTGAAAACAATAGATCATGCTTTACAGTTTAAATTAATTCTATGTGAAGATTTTAATATGTCTAATATTTCCTGGTCATCCACTGAGCCAACTTTCTTATCACTAGATCCCTGCAAAAATTTTTTTACTAATGAAATTTATTATTTTTTCAATCTTATTAAAATATTTATTTCCCAACACAATTATTTTTTAGATCTGGCCTTTTCAATAAATTGCAACCTCAACACTTACCCAATGAAAGGATTTATGTCTGATACCTGTGCAATCTTTCTTGAAGTTTTAGATAGTATTAGCATCAAATACTCACAGAGGTTTACGAGAATTCTTTTACACCATCATTTTAATTTTAAACAAACCGCTAAAATATATATTTGTTCTATTGATTGGACTTTCCTGGAATCTCCAATATTATCTCCTCAAACCATTATTGATTTAACATATGTATTTTTATTCTACTATCATTAAGTTTTTACAATATTCAAAAGTTGTTACATCCTCATATAAACAGTTCTCTCAACCATTTAAAAAAGTTCAGAAATATCAGTAGAAAACACTGGACCAAGTGAAAATGCAGTGGAAATCCACGTGATCTCTATATTCACTGTAGCTTACAAAAACAATACTACAAAGAATGCAACACATCATTTCAAAACTATTTTAACAATATCATAAACACTTTTGCTTCCAAGCCCCTGTACATTTTGGGATTAATCCCAAAATTTTCTACAAAAACTCAAAATAAATCAACTTCCTTTTCAACAAATTAAATGTTGAAAAGAAACTTTCCTCATTCTTCAACAAATTAAATGACTTCTTTAGCAGTGTATCTGAATTTTACATTAACATTTTACTTGATTTCTTATTGTTAAATAAAAACAACAAGAAACAATTTAATTTAACAATAAGAAATCAAGTAAAATGTTGGTACTTCTATATGATGAAAATATTATTGTTAATCATTTTAAAAAATTACAATAAAATAATTCATTAATATGTAGAGAGAGAAACCTCTCTTTCAATTTAAAAAACTTTTGCGTGCGTCACGCTGTCATCGACATGACATGCGGGGAAAAAATATGGCATAATCGATATATTATAGTGAAGCAGAAAGAGATAAATAATAAAAATAAATTGATATAGTGAAGAATAAACTTTAAATGTTGTTTCTTTGTTTACAGGTGAGAGTGTCTATTACATTTCAAAAATGTTATTTTGATGATGTAACTTCAAAACTAATAGAATAAAAAAAAAAACTTTGTTTACAGAGCAACACATCGTGGTTTATTTCATTTTTCGAATCCTTCCTTTTTGAAAAAAATAAAAACCTTATAAATATACAGTAGAGCATCAATTATCCGAATCAATTGGGAAATGGGGTTGTTCGGAAGATCAATGTTTCAGATAACCGATTATGTACGAAAAAATATATTAATTTATCCCATCTTGACATTTTTCTCCATTGTGTGTCGCTTCACATTGAATTTTTGTCGATGTTTAGCCTAACGAAGACTATTGTATCGTTAAAAATTATTTTTTTATTTTGTACAAACAAAATAAATATATTGAAAAATATAAAAACAATAAAAAATTATACTTCAGAAGTTAATTTAGTATCAAAAACGTAAAATATTTGAGTAGCCCAAGACATAGCCAAAGATTGCAGCGCCACAGCACTGGCGAAAATTTAAATTTGCCGACTGGAATTCTTTCGGATGATTGATGTTTTGGATGATTGACTTTCGGATAATCGACGCTGTACTATATAATCATTATTAATCTAACAATTTTTAAATGATTGCTTCTTCATATTAAAATTGTTGTACAATAAGAATTTTCAGAGAGACAAATATTTAATTTTTAGAAATAATTCAATGTTTAATTAAAATATTCTATTTAAAATTTTTCGAACATTAAAATACTTCACATTAACATTGATACTTGAGAACAAAAATCAGATTGCTAAGAATCTATTTTATAAAAATGTTCATTCTATAACAAATTAAAGAATTTTGTTAACAATACATTTCAATTTTATTCTTGTTTTGTTTAAACTGTTTTTACAAAAAATATTAAAATAAAATGCAACAAATTTTATTACTATAAGAAGTAATTAAATTTGCTGCCTTTAAAGTAAAATAATTTAAGCATTTCCTGATTTTGTTCAAATTCATTTTAATAATGAATGAAAACAATCAATCAGAAAATTCAACATGCAAAAAAGATAGCATGTTTAATTTATTATTCTATTATGTAAAACGAAATACAATATTTCAGAAACATTTTTCATAAATACAATAATAATCATCAAATAATATAAAAAGCACTATATTGTAATTCTAGATTTAATTTAGTGAATGTAAAAATACTTCACAGAGTACTTTACTTTTTATTACAGTAAAACCTCATTATTTTGATATTAGATAATTTGAAGTATCAAGTAATTCAAAGTTAATTCTAGTCCCTGGCCAAGAGAATAGCATTTTGTATATATTTGTGTTCGGATAATTAGAAATACAGTAGAGCCTCGATTATCCGACCCTCTATCAACCAACCCCTCGGTTAACCGACCGTCCTAGTCAGCAAATTTCAAATGTCCACTATTGATGTGGCGCTACAATATTTGGCTATGTCTTGGCTACTTTAATTTAATATTATTTTTACATGTTTTAGCTGGCAACACTGGATCGACCATGAAAGGGAGCCAGTATTTAAACGAGGCTTAACTTTCTAATTTTTAACGATACAATAGCAATGACTATTGTGAGAGTAGCCGGGGTTACGGAGTAAGTAGTACTCTGGTAACACTTAATCGGCACAGATTAACCGAAATCTGTCTCCAAAGTTTCGAATCAAGAAATCCGATCTTAAAAGTTCATAGGAGAGCGATAACCGCTATATGATCCGAACTGCGAAGTTCAGATGCTCGTCAGGATTCCTTGACACCAGTTTGTCAATTTATCAATCCGCGGACAAACACGCGTATGAGATCTGATTCAAACACAAAATTAAGAGACATTTTAATTAAAACGAAATAATAAATTTAATAAAACAAGAAAATAAACTCATACAAAAATCTTAATGAACGAGAGATAGAATTACTACAAATAACATACAAATCGAGAGATAGCTATACTTATCTTCTACCCAATTCGCGATCGAGAGAGAGCTCACAAAATTGTTAAGACATACAACCTGTTTCAGTGGTCGTTCGTCTTCTTCTCTGTAGGCAAGGGACACTTTGGAGATAAAGTTCATTTACTTCTTCGTATGGGAGATTAATATATGCACAAAACCAAAGTAAAATTTCTAAGTGCAGACTCCGGACTTCTTCTAAGTGACTCGACTAAGGGCGTTGGTCATCAGGAGGAAAATGTGTGGAGTTTGGACGCTTCCAGATCTGTCGCTGAACTCCTCAAGTTCGGACAAATTTCCTCTATATGTCACGATCAGTGACCAATCATCATGCAAAGATTCCTCCGTGAGAACGGATGGAAAGGGGGATATGTGAGGGGTAAGCATTTCCCATCAAAGCGAGAGTTTTCGCAGATAAGGGAAAAACAGAGGATGTACTAACCTCAGTGAAAGGAAGTAACATCTGTCATCTATTTTTCCCACTCTAAAACGTCATTTTTCATCACCCAAACGAAATAATATTTTAACATTATTAATAAAAATTATTAAATTAGACCCAAGGCCTTTCGGGTCTCACACTATTATTTTAAAAAATTTTTGTTAGGCTTAACCTCAATGAAAATTCAATGCAAAGTAGGTTAATAGCGATACACTAATATACTAATTACATGGGATATAATAATATACTACACTAATAATAGATTTTTTCATATTTTTCGGTTATCCGCCCTTTCAATTATCCGACCAACCCCAGTCCCCAATTAGGTCGGATAATCGAGGCTCTACTGTATGCATACAATAAAATTCAAAGTCATTATCTGGTCTGGTAACTCAAACAAATATCATTTAATTTAAAATCTTCCATCAATTTAATTGTTTATAAGGAAAGTTTCCATGCCAAAGTGGCAGCTTCATTTTCGGTTTTACCAATTACACATTGATTTATTGGACATCCATTCAAGGTCATTCGAACATTGTATACATTGCTAATGAAAAAAGAATTTAAATAAAAAAAATTTTTATGTTTTTTATTTTTTTATTATTTTTTTAAAGATATTTTTTATTTTTATAAAAAGCATTTAATTATTTTGTACACTTTTCACAAAAATCTATTGTTTCAATAATTCCAAAATCAATTAAATGCATGTGCATATTCACAATAGAATACATATGTAGTTTTAGCCCAGTGGTTCTTAACAGATGTTCTGCAGAACACTGGTGCTCCATGAACATAGAGAAAATGTTCTGCCAAAATTTGAAAATTGTGAAAAATTAAAATTATTAAAACAAACAAGAAAAAGTCATTGTTTTTAGTTGTATCATCTTTACTTCTACTTATGTAGGTTTTATTGATTTTTATAACAGATTTCTATTAGAACATGAATCAAATCTGCTTTCGCATGTAGGCAGAGCTAGTGTGTAAACAGTTGAATGACGACAATCAACGTGTACAAACATGTTTCTTGCTAAAAAGGTTACTGTTATTTTCATTATTTTTCAAGTAAGTCCAATGTTTTACACAGACTGTCAGTGTCATAAAATGTATTATTTTGTAATTGTAGGTAAAAGTTCATTTGAGATAAATTAGTCTTCTAGAAATTAAAAAGCTCTATTCTATCTTCTAAAGAATTACAAATAATTATTTGAAACAGCAAAATAGACAAATTTCTAAAATGAAAATATGATTCTGGCACTGATAGTGTAGTGCAAGTACAACAATATCAATAATGATGCTCACAACAGGGAGAACAAAGTAAAAAAATGTCAATAGACAATATTCCATGATTATTTGGTTTTGGGTTCACTTACATTGACGAAAATGAAATGTCAAATTCCCCTTTGCGTGGTTTATGAGAATAAGCTTTGTAATAGTGTAATAATACCAGCAAAATTAAAACATTTTGTATCTAAACACGCCAATCTCCAGTCCAAAGACAAGAATTATTTTCAAAGATTGTTGAATAATCAAATTAATCAAGAAAAAAATAGTAACAGTATCTAATAAAGCACAAATTGAATCATATAAATTTCCCAAAATAATTGTTAAAAATTTAAAACCACACACCATAGCAAAGTGTCTGATTTTACCAACACATTCTGAAATAGTTCAAACTATGTTTGGTTAAGAACCACTGCTTTAGCCATTAGTATTAGCTTATTTTCATTAGACTGTATGATTTTTGTAATCTCAAACTCAAGATGGTAAATTCTTCTGCAACTAGACACTGGTCTTCTAGACAAAATTTGTGAGTAATTCTTATTGAAGCACTTAAGCTTCTTTTGTAAATTATTTTCAGATCTTGATTTGAATGTAGTTTCATTATGTTTTTATTGTTTTTATTAAGTACATGCCAACAGACACTTTTTAGAAATAGCTTAATTTACCAAGTAATAATGCATAATAATAACACATTTATAACCAAATGGGTAAAATTATATAGATAATGTCATAATTTTATTTGAGAATTACAAAAAAAACTAGATTCAAAAAAAGTTTGGATAATTCGAAAATCATGATTTTTTAGTCCCTTAAGCTTCAAAGTACAGTAATACCCCGAACTTATGCGATAGGTGAGACCGAGCGATAACCGCGTAAGTCGAATTCGTGTAAGTCGGGGTATAATTTCGCAATTTGTGTAAAATCCACGTCGGATGTATGTAAGCTAATAAATGTTCTCGTTAATCTTATCTCGTCTTTTAATTCTTTCACGGTTACAAGAAATCACCACATAGAGTCTCTCAAGTCTCCATAGATATAACAAACACAGAAATAAATAACACAAAATAAATTGTAGCTATGTGTCGATTCCGTGCGACACGTCCGAACATGTAAGCCGAACAATAGTATGGGAGAGTGAGTAATCAAGAGTTGCGTGGCGCTCAAACAAAAGACGAATCGACGAGATTTGAAAAACGCATAACTCCGGGTTCACGTAAGTCGGGGTAGCGTAAGTCAAGGTATTACTGTAATGAGGTTTTACTGTAAACAAAAATATATTTTTCACTTTTTAATTAAAAATAATTACAGATATTATATTACTTACGGAAAACAGATTTCGACACATATCATCTTTGATTAGAGTAAGTAGAGAATTGAAGTTGTCTATTTGATTGGCACCAGCTTCAAGAGCAACTGTTAGGAGGCTTAAACCAATGTGAAAATTTGCCTCCGTGTTATGTCGTTCAATTGGATTTATTAATGTGACTAAAAATCTAAATAATTCTCTTACGCAAGGCAGACCGTATGGTATAAGAGGACCGGAACCTAATGTAAAAAATAGTTTTTATTTGTATAAAGTATTTGTTAGAAGACAACATATGTAATTTTTATTAACAAAAAAATACCAAAAATATTTAACAAATTGTATTTAATTTGATATACAATATTATTTAAATACAGTATAATATCAAACTATTTGCAAAAATTTCATTTTGTATTCTTTTGTAAAAATTACAAATTTACAGTTAAACACTAATAATATTACAGAACAATCAAAAATTTCTCATTATATCAAAAGATTTTTATACTACAATGAAGGTTTCAAATTTTTTTAATTTAAATGTTTTTTTATATTAAAATACAGTGGTGCCTCGTACAACGTACTTAATCCGTTCCAGGTGCACGTCCATTATACGAAACGCATTTTCCCATAGAAATACATGTTAAAACATATAATTCGTTCCGCAGCATAAAATAACCGTACTGTACCATAAAAAATGAAAATGGAGCAGACACCAATTATGCCGGGTAGTCAGATGTTGTGAGGAGGAGGTGGAAGAACACTTTCTTTACACATTCATACAGATACAGACTTTTTACACATTGCAGCGGGTCTTTTTTTATTGTTTTTTAATCGGAGTCAGATTCAGGAGAGGCTACCGGAACTTGCAGGGTCAACTTCTCTTGTTCCATCCTTTGTTTTTTGCCCGCTGGCTTCTTGAAAAACATGACCAAGGTGGTCTGTTTCTCTTTCTTCTTTAACACCTGTCGGAAATGACGGACAAAGGTGTCATCGTAGAGATCATTGATCCTGTTGGCCTCAGCTCTGTTTGGATAATGAGTGTTGGTAAACTCCTGAACCTCTCCCCATTCGACAAGAAAGTTTTTGTCAACTTTCACTCCTGATGATTTCTTGCTTTGTTTCAATTGAAATCACCTTTCTGTTTTTTTAGAAGCCATGATGCATTATAAATGACTTAACTTGCCAGATTATATGATACGAATAATTCTTTATTAATTAAGATCACTAAACACTTCTACGAGCTACTCTCGCTCCGTTTGTTTTTTACAACCTCTTTTCGTCCCGCCACCTCGGCATCTACACAATTACATTTCGTTTATTTGAATCGTCAACATATATTACATTACATTTCTACTTCAGATATACTAATAATACATTCTAATAATACTAATATATCCTAAAAATAGCAGAATGTCATTGGCAACGGCTAGGGTTGCCACCTGTCCGGGTTTGACCCGGAGACTCCAGGATTGAGTGAGTTATCTCCGGGCTCCGGGGTTAATTAATGTTTCTCCAGGTTGTGCAAGTTGAAATGAATATGTACAAAATTATATGCAAACCGTTGCATATATTTCTTCCCCCGTGTACCGAATTACTAGTGTGAGAGTCGTTGGCTTAAAGACATAACGTCTATAACTGGCATAGGCGCAGTGCTGCTGCATGCTATGTGGATGTACTCTTTCTTGTGACTGTTCTGTCAAGAGATGTCTATTGAGAGTGAAATGATATAGCATACATAGCTGATAGTTTGATAATCAGTGTTCATGTTGGTTGATTAATGGTAAGTTATAGTATATAGTTAGAGTTAGACTTGAGCAGGTTAAATAGCATTACATAACAAACGGTCTGTTGGACCCTCAAAAAAATAAATATAGACCTATATATATATATTTTTATGTTTTTTAATTCAAAAATTTTTACCCGCGCGAAAAAATTTTATCGCGATTTTAATCAACCTTTAATGACACACGATTAACACTTAATTGTTTTTTTATGGGATTTATATAAATAAAAAAACTGTATATGTATGCATATGGGGTTTTTTTGTTTCTTAAATCGTCGTCTCCGGGCGAGACTAAGTTCTGAGGTGGCAACCCTAGCAACGGCAAAAGAGTGGAAACATCATTTGCACTTGTTTGAAGAAAGTCCATTGTTCGTCTCACATAACTGCCGAACGGAAAGTCCATTGTTCGCAGCAAGTCCATTGCTCGAGTCACGTAACGGTCAAACAGAAAGTCTGTTATTCGCAGCGTCCGTTATTCAAGGCGTACGTTATACGAGGCACCACTGTATTTATAAATATAAGAAAAATTACCCTCATCTAATATTTTTCCCTCTAAACTTATTAAAAATTTTACAGATTAAAGTAAATTTAGGACATTTAAAAACAAAATGAAATTATTTTTATTTGAAAGTTTTCTTATGCATTATTATGAAAAACTAAGAATGCAGAATACATTTTAAGAAAAATATACAGTTGACTTGTCTTAAAGCAAACACCAATAAAGTACCTCTAACCTATGTGACCTCTAAATGTATAGTATTTCAAACATTTGGTTTTAGCAAACCATTCTACTGTACTCAGAAAACAGATGTTAAAGTTTAAGGATGCCCACACCTCTGTATATGCAAACATGTGCTAGTTTGCATATACAGAGGTGTAATATAGTGATGCCAGGTTTGGCTACTTTTTACCAAATTTGTTTTTTTTTTTTTAAATATTTTTACTCTTTTGGCATCAACTTTCAACTCCTAACTAGTTGGGCTCTGCCTTCATTATTATCTTTATTATTAACCCATCTTGATTATATTATAAGATTCACTAATTTGATATTGCTTTTGTATGAGTACTGTAAGGTCTCGTTTTATGTGGTGGATATGTTCTACAGAAAAGTGCATATAAAATATTTGCATAAAAAAACACTTTACTTGCCTTGAAAAAGTAGGGATATGTTCCGTAATTTTCTAAAATCGCATAAAACCAAAACAACGAGTTAAAATTAATTTAAAACCGCATAAAAAAGTTTGCAGAAATTAAAAGNTTCTACAGAAAAGTGCATATAAAATATTTGCATAAAAAAACACTTTACTTGCCTTGAAAAAGTAGGGATATGTTCCGTAATTTTCTAAAATCGCATAAAACCAAAACAACGAGTTAAAATTAATTTAAAACCGCATAAAAAAGTTTGCAGAAATTAAAAGAAATAGGCTGCTTAATAAATTTAGACTTACGATATTGAGAAGGCAAAAACCTCTTCTAATAAAAAATAAAACTTTACGACACTCACTTTATACGTTTCAATCCAGAAATCAAAATGTGCTGCTTATTACTGCAACTTAAAATCAGCAAAATTTAAACTCGCTACTTATTATAAAAATGAACAAAACACCGCTAAAATAAAATTTGATTTCAAAACGATTACAGTTTATACCTTTCAATGCGAAACTCAGAATGATGTAATAGCGACTTGTCAATGGTATCATGTGCAAGGGGAATCCCCGAATTGCAAAAGCTTACTCTAAAAACAAATTACTGACATCTGGATGTGAAGAGTTAATTAAAACTTAATTAATTAACTTTAGTTCCTCGCCCGAGTTAACTCGGGCAGATTACATAGCGTTACATAAAACACGGTTCTTAAGGCTTTGAAATTTTTTTGAATTTTTGGAATGTTTTTTAAGTCTCCAAATTTTTAAAAAATATTTAAAAATATACANTGACGAATACAATAATGGGGAAGTAACCTATTCAATTTCAAACACTATTCCACAGACTAAATTCAGTATTGATCAGCACAGTGGACAGATTATTCTTAATGAAGAATTGGACAGAGAAATGGAAAACTTTTATTCACTAACAATTTTAGCCATTGATAATGGAACTGATCACAGGTACACTTCAACTGGGACTGTTAGCATCTCGGTATTAGACGAAAATGATAATTATCCAGAATTTATAAATAACACAAAGGAAGTAACCGTTCGTGAAGACATGTCGGTCGGTAGCATTATTGCCACTTTTCTAGCAATAGATAAGGATTTAAATCATGATATTACTTATTCTTTATCTTCCTCTAATTATAGAGATGTCTTTAAACTCAATCCAATGACAGGAAATCTGTATTTATCTCATAATTTAGATCGAGAAGAAAACGAAAAATATCATCTATCTATAACTGCTAGTGATAACGGAATTCCTACCTTAAGTACAAGTATAACAATTTTTGTAATTGTGACTGATGTGAATGATAATCCTCCCGTATTTTCAAATACGGATGTAATATATAGAGTGACAGAAAATACGGAACCTAATACTAAAATTGCTTTAATAAGCGCGGAGGATGCGGATGCTGATATCAATGGACAGGTGAAGTATAACATAAGTAAATGTTGGCCTTGCAAAAATCATTTCGGGATTAATCCAGAAACGGGTATGATCTATACTACTCGATCGCTAGACAGAGAAGAGACCGATTCGTACACTTTAACCGTGGTATGTACTGATTTGGCTGAACCAGCTATCAGTAGATTAACAACTGAAAAAACAATTACCATAATTGTTGATGACATAAATGACAACGCACCCACTTTTGTGTCAATCGACACGGGCATCTTATTGGAAGGGTCCAGTCAGGGAGATGTTATTATGACTTTATCTGCACAAGATCCGGACAACGAAATGAACGGAACGGTAACTTATCATTTGGAAGAATCACAATCGGACCTTTTTTCTTTAGAGCCATCTACTGGAATATTAACTCTCTCTCGTAGGGTTTCCAAGCCACTTCCGATCTACAATTTAACAGTTAGAGCGACCGATAATGGGCCGAGACCGTTTATGAAATCTTCTAGATTAAAACTTACGATTTTGGGAGTTCTTAAAAGGCAAAGTGGACCCGTATTTAGTGCATCTGAATTTTCCGGTTCTGTATACGAAAACCAACCAATTGGTACTAGTGTTTTAGCGGTAAAGGCTCAAGGCAATCATATTTCTGTTAATTATTATTTGACTTCAATAAATGTCAAAGGGTTAAGTTATAGAAAAATCTTTAATGTTGATCGCCGAACAGGGATCGTCTCTACCACTCAAGTATTGGAAAGTGAAGGACAATTTGACGTATTTGAACTTGAAATTTATGCAGTCGAAATCATTGGTTCTCGTTCAAAAACTTCCAAAACTAAGGTAAGTTCAGTTTAAAGGCTATTTTAATTACTTTCAAGTCACATCATGAATATATTTTACAATTAATGATCAAATATTTTTTATATCTTACCTTCTTGTGGTATTTGTTGAGCAGTAAAACGTACACCATGTGGATTAACATATTCGCTGTCTCTATGACTGTTAGTTCTGTTATTGTCACTTTTGATGTTAAGATCATAAATTTCAGTTATACTATTACTTTCATTTTTTATTTCTTGATTCTCTGATTGCTAAAATTGAAACAACAAAGTAATAGTTAATAATAATACTCTGCAAAAAATAAATATTATCAACAAACTTACTTATTTATTTTTTCTATTTGAAATTTCATGTTTTGATTTATTTTTAGTAGTAAATTATTCATGAAATATACTAGATTGATGCATTGTGGCCTGAACATTATTACATAAATCAAAAATAAAAAAGTTAACAACAAAAATAACTTGTAAGTTTGTTTCGTCCGATGGTTCTTTTCAGTTTTTAATACTTGTAGACATAATTCGCCCATGTAGGTAATGGTAAATAATGGTGATCCCTACATGGGCGAATTATGTCTACAAGTATTAAAAACAAAAATAACATTAAACTACTATTTAAAAAAAACCATCTTATAGTGTTATAAATGCCAAATAACAAACAAGAAAAAACTTCGGATTAAAAATATTAGTACAGTAGAGCGTCATTTATCCGAATCAATTGGGGACTGGGATTGTTCGGATAACTTATTTTTCAGATAACCAATTATGTACGAAAAAATATATTAATTTATCCTGTGTTGACATTTTTCTCCGTTGCGTGTTGCTTCGAGTTGAATTTTCGTCTGTTAAGCCTAACAAACACTATTGTATCATTAAAAATTATTTTTTTATTTTGTACAAACAAAATAAATATATTGAAAAATATAAAAACAATAAAAAATTATACTTCAGAAGTTAATTTAGTATCAAAAACATAAAATATTTGAGTAGC